TCCTAGTCTCTGTTGTTCATTCTTTCAGTCGTCTCCGACTCTTCGTGACCTCATGGACCAGCCCACGCCAGAGCTCCCTGTCGGCCGTCACCACCCCCAGCTCCCTCAAGGTCAGTCCAGTCACTTCAAGGATGCCATCCATCCATCTTGCCCTTGGTCGGCCCCCCTCTTCCTTTTGCCTTCCACTTTCCCCAGCATAATTGTCTTCTCTAGGCTTTCCTGTCTCCTCATGATGTGGCCAAAGTACTTCAACTTTGTCTCTAGTCTCTTTCCCTCCAGTGAGCAGTCGGGCTTTATTTCCTGGAGGATGGACTGGTTGGATCTTCTCGCAGTCCAAGGCACTCTCAGAACTTTCCTCCAAGCATCTATCTTCCTTCGCTCAGCCTTCCCTAAGGTCCAGCTCTCACATCTGTAGGTTACTGCGCTTCAAAAAGTAAATCTTTCTGAATTTATTCCGAATTATGAAGATTCTGACCGAACCTAACCATGCCAAATATATATCCATCCATCTTGACATTGACTGATTAATCCTGTTCCTCCTTCATTTTATTATTATTCTGATGGTAAAGGGGTAAGATATGATGCACTCTGCATTGCACATTCATGAAAAATTCTTAGTCTCTGAATAATCAAATATATATGGAGAAGACGGTGACATACAGGCAAAGTATCCGTGGCTTCTGACTATACGATGATCAAGCTTTTAGCCGAAGATGAAGCTCTGATATCATCTACGGTCTGAACGTGAACTTCACTATTATTAAAGTCGGAAGCATAGATGTGCTGGACATTGCTCTCCTCCCAAGAAGTAAGCGTCTTCTGATTTCCTGGCTACAGTCTGCATCTGCAGTAATCTTTGCACCTAGAAATACAAAGTCTGTCAGGGCCTCCACGGTTTCTCCCTCTATTTTCCAGTTGTCAATCATTCTTGTTGCCATAATCTTGGTTTTTTTTGACGTTTTTGCAGTTTCAGTATCCTGTGATAAATAGAAGTGGGTCAGGGGAAATCTTTAATGAACGCCCCACGTATATCCCAAATCACATCTACATAACCATTTAATTCAGGCAGTTTGACAGCGAACTGTTTAGTTTATGACGCATGCTGCAAACATGTACTGCAGCACCTTATAAGGGCTTTGAACTTAAATAACCAAAGTTGGAGACTACTTTGAAATAGAGCCCTTAATGCACATCATGCAGTTTAGTGTAAAACCACATCACATGTGGTTTTACACTAAACTGCATGATGTGCATTAACAAAAACAATTAAGGGGCAAGAAAAAATGAACATTTGAGTGTCTTGTAAACATTTTATTTGAAATAAATAATATGTTTATGCAAAATAAAACACCCGGGTCAAGTAAGTTTTACCAAAGCAAGCAAGAACAGGTTGAAACTTCCAAATGTCACTTGAATACTTTTTTCCCCCAAAATGTGTTTGTTGATGACATGTTTCTTTCACCAGATCCTCTTTCTGCTTCTGATTTCCATTTTAGCGGATGAATATAAAGATATATGATTTTGTATCAGGCTAAAAAAATATTTTATTTGTTCATTTCTTTTACTTAAAGTATTTTCAATGACAACTTTAGCCTGAGATTCTATGCCATGGTCTTTCACAACCACACAACTGCTGCAAGCCACAACTTTGCAAGGTTTTTCTTCTCTGTCAGTCTTGCAGAGGTCTACCCAACCTCCCAGCTTCTTGTTGTCATCATTCTTTATCAGGTTGATCTGATGTTCAGCACAAAGGGCTTCAACCAGTTTGACACACATGGGCTTGTTGCAATTGGATGCAAAAACACAAAGATGGGCTTGATGTTTGTCTAAGGCTTTGGCAGCTTCACGAATTCCACGGGCCTGGGAAATGAAAGGTGGTTTTTCATTCTTGAAAACATACCTATGAAGCACAATGTGGCAAGAAAGACTAACTGGACTTGCGCTCTTGAGTGCCCACCGAAGTTTATTGATGGAGTCTGATTTCTGTCAAAGTGTGTTGACACAGATTTCAAATGTTTCCAACAGGCATGGTGGTATTCTTTTGTAACCACTAAATTACTAATTAAGAGTAACCACTAAATTACTAAATTTAATTAAGTCTATGTAAAAATGTAGAATAAGTCATAGAATTTAAATTATTTTGTTTTTATGGACATATGCTTCATGAGTCACTAAAAAAAATAAAATTGTTTCAACACCCCACCCCACCCCATTTTCTAGTTATGGGCATTTGTAGTTAATGGAAAAATAAAAAAATTACACATGACTTACTATCTGAAATGGATTCTCTCCAGCTATAACCCAAACAATGAGGCTTGTGGAGATGCAAATTGTCAATGGAATTGTAAGACTAAAATGAAACCAATCCAGAGACATATTCTGGCAGTTTCCTTGCCCAGATCCTTGATCTAACTCAGGGGTCCTCAAACTAAGGCCCAAGGGCTGAATACAGCCCTCCAAGATCATTTACCCGGCCCTCGCTCAAGTCTGAAATGACTTGAAAGCACATAACAACAACAACAACAACAACAACACAACCTGTATTCATGGTCATTTACCCGGCCCTCGCTCAAGTCTGAAATGACTTGAAAGGTTTAGGGCAGGGGTCCTCAAAGTAAGGCCTAAGGGCTGGATACGGCCCTCCAAAGTCATTTAGCTGGCCCTCGCTCAGGGTCAACCTAAGTCTGAAATGACTTGAAAGCACACAACAACAACAACAACAATCCTATCTCATCAGCCAAAAGCAGGCCCACACTTCCCATTGAAATACTAATAAATTTAAATTTGTTAAAATTGTTCTTCATTTTAATTATTGTATTGTTTTAAGTGTTTTTTGCACTACAAATAAGATATGTACAGTGTGCATAGGAATTCATTCATGTTTTTTTTCAAATTATAATCCGGCCCTCCAACAGTTTGAGGGACTGTGATCTGGCCCTCTGTTTAAAAAAATTGAGGACCAAAAAGACCTACAGCGACCTGGCCCTCTGTTTAAAAAGTTTGAAGACCCCTGATCTAACTGGTTCTGGAAGTAGAAGAGATATCTAGCAGTGTGTCCAATCCTATGCAAAGTACAAAGTGTTGGTTGTTCCTTCGTGGTTTAGATCCGTGGTTCTCAACCTGTGGGTCCCCAGGTGTTTTGGCCTACAACTCCCAGAAATCCCAGCTAGTTTACAAGTTGTTAGGATTTCTGGGAGTTGAAGGCCAAAACATCTGAGGACCCATAGGCTGAGAACCACTGGTTTAGATCCAAATTACCTAAAGGATCACTTCCATACAATCTGCTCCTATGAATGTTAAACTGATACTTTAAAACAGTGGATCCCAACCTGTGGTCCATGACCATAGTGGTCCAGAAGAATGAAAATATCCAACTCACCATGGAAAAAGAAAAGGAAGGAAGACTGCCTTTTCTAGATGTCACAGTCATCCGTAAACCAGATCAACAATTGGGTCACACCGTTTACAGAAAATCCACACACACAGATAGATATATCTACATAAAAACTCCAACCATCACCCAAGTCAAAAAAGAAGCACCATTAAAGCCTTGGCAGACCGTGCAAAAAGAATCTGGGAACCCCACCTCCTCCAAGATGAACTGAACCACCTCAACTGGGCTCTCCAGGCCAATGGATACTCCACCTCAGACATCAGAAGAGCTGCAAGACCAAGAACAAGCCACGAGAATAAAGATGAAGATCCACCCAGAGGAAAAGTGTTCCTGCCATACATCAAGGGAACCACTGACTGCATAGGGAAGCTGATGAGGAAACACAGCATTCAAACGAAAAAGAGGTTTATATATCTGTGGAATGACCAGGGTGGGACAAAGGACTCTACGTTCAGCAAAGGACAAGAGGGATCCTCTCACTTCTGCAGGAGTCTACCGTATACCATGCAGCTGTGGACAAGTCTACATAGGGACCACCAAACGCAGCATTGCCCAAACACGAATCAAGGAACATGAAAGGCACTGCAGACTACTTCAACCAGAGAAGTCAGCCATAGCAGAGCACCTGATGAACCAACCTGGACACAGCATTTTATTTGAGAACACAAAAATGCTGGACCACTCTCACAACCACCATGTCAGACTACACAGAGAAGCCATTGAAATACACAAACATGTGGACAATTTCAACAGAAAGGAGGAAACCATGAAAATGAACAAGATGCGATGTAAGAGGATGACCAATAATCTGGCTCCACAGTAGTAGATAAAAGCCGTCGTAAAAAATTTTCCAACCGGGCAAAACAAGAGAGAAGGATACAGAAGGCAGGGCACATTGTAATCACCATGTACAACAATACAGGAACTTATCTGTCCCCCAGGTCGCTGGTCCTTATGCAAAAAGGCCATCCAATGCTAATCATAAGTATGGGATCAGTTGAAACAGGTGATACACCGAAACCCTGAAAGCTGACCAGACAGACAAGAGTTTCTGTGCCGCCCTCTCCCCCCTCGCCCCCACACCTAGCTCCAGCAGACAAGAGTCCTTTGTCCCACCCTGGTCATTCCACAGATATATAAACTCTTTTTCCTAGTTCCAACAGACCTCACTACCTCTGAGGATGCTTGCCACAGATGCAGGCGAAACATCAGGAGAAATGCCTCTAGAACATGGCCATATAGCCCGAAAAAACCTACAACAACCCAGTGATTCCGGCCATGAAAGCCTTCGACAATACAAAGATGTGGAAGTTGAAGTAGGGAGCGAAGGATATATTAATATTTCTAGTGATGGAGTTTCATGTTTGTTTCCCCACAATTTCTTCTGGTGTCGCAAAACTCTCTTACAGTGCCGAGGCAATGAGGATGTTGGGGGAGAGGTTGACTACCCATGAAAGATTACTACTACCACATCAGCTCTAGATTATTAAATATGGTTTCTGTGGGTGAGCAAATGGATGGCATATGTTCTGAATCAGGAACTAGAGCTGATGTGGTCTATCCAATGCAATTTTCTGAATCAGCACCCCAAATAACCAAACGAATCTAAAGTTGACCAAAAACTTATTCATAACCTTTTTGGTACTAATGTTGGAGACTGGTCACTAGTCAAAATCAAGTGGTCCCTCAAGTGGTCCCTGGTTAAAAAAAAGTTGGGAACCACTGCTTTGAAAGGTATGGATGAGGTCAATGAGCAATAGCTTTTGAGATGTTTGGAGTGAGGTGAATCTTAGTATAGAGTAAATACTGTATTATTATTATTTGAAACACAACAAGATGAGTTCACAGCAAATAAGATCACTCTGCTGGCTGTTGTACTGGATCACACGTCGGATGATATTATTATTATTATTATTATTATTATTATTATTATTATTATTATTATTATTAGACTGAAATCCTACTCTTTCATTTTTTTTTCTTTCCAGAAAGGAGACTAAATTTGAACAAGGTAGATGCCGGGAACTGAATTTGTTATTTCAGGAGAGGAATCTGTCTGGGATGTGAGTGTTTATGGTTTGTGAATTTTTCAGGTTTCAAAGGTTGTTTCTTGAAGGTGCACAGCACACTTTGAGTGCAAATATTTTATGACTTACAGTATTTAAATCAAGGTGGGAGTGAAAGGAAGTGAAGATTCTCTCCTACTGCGCTGGTCCTAGATTTTAATTCAGATTCATCTCCCATTCGTCTCTGTCTTTGAGCTAACGGAAATTCTGCACTGTAGAATTAATACAGTTTGGTACCACTTTAACTGCAATGGCTCAATATTATGGAATCAAAAGGGTTGTGGTTTAGTGAGGTACAGTAGACTCTCGCTTATCCAACATAAACGGACTGGCAGAACATCAGATAAACAAAAAATTCGGATAATATGGAGTCTCCTGTTATCCGACCAATGTGGCGCCAGACACCTAGAATACTAACAACAGAGACTTAAAGGGTTAAGGCAAGGCAACACTTGGGGATTAGAGTAGCCTAGCAGGAAGTGCCCAGATGCAGAAGAGGAGCATGGAAATCACAGAGGGAAAGAGGGAGGATGCTTCCGCTTCCGGTCCTGCCTCTTTTCCCTCTTTCCTTCCTCCTCCTCCTCCTTGTTTTGTCTTTTTCACTTATTGGGAATGGAGAGAGAGTTGGGGAGCAGTCCTTTAATTGAAGAGGAAACGCTGGAGGAAAAGGGGAGCATCGGATAAGAGTTTCGGATAAGACAGAATGTCGGATAAGTGAAGGTCGGATAAACGAGACTCTACTATACCAGCACTCTTGGACAGAAAAGCCCAAAAGCCTTGTTAATTACAAATTACAAAATTTCATAGCATTGAACCATGGCAGTAAAGGGGTGCCAATCTGCATTAATTCCATAATGTATATATCCTCCTGGGGAGATAGGATGGGATACAAATAAAGTCATTATTATTATTATTATTATTATTATTATTATTATTATTACTATTACTATTACTATTGTTGTTACTCTGAGGCTCCTTGACTGTGAGAACCGTTCAGCAGTGGAACTCTCTGCCCCGGAGTGTGGTGGAGGCTCCTTCTTTGGAAGCTTTTAAACAGAGGCTGGATGGCCATCTGTCAGGGGTGATTTGAATGCAATATTCCTGCTTCTTGGCAGGGGGTTGGACTGGATGGCCCATGAGGTCTCTTCCAGTTCTTTGATTCTATGATTGTATGATTCTACAATGACACATAATCCAGATTATCAAAGCAGATAATCCACATTATCTATTTTGAACTGGATTATATGAGTCTACACTGCCATATAATCCAGTTCAAAGCAGATAATCTGGATTTTATATGGCAGTGTAGAAGGGGCCTGAGATAGTGAATATTTCCGGAGTTTTCTGCTGAACTTCAAAAGAGGTACCCACTTTGCTGAATCCTATATTTCCAAGAAGGTTCAGCACTGGATGGTTCCTTCCAAGTTTGAACTTAAACTACGTCTAAGATCTCACGCGGAACAGGAATGCAATCCTGTTTGCAAATCCCATGAGTGAATGTTAAATGGCCTCCTTTTCTTGTATGACCCTGCCTTGCTGGTAGCGTCAATTTTCAGAAGACAGACAATGAGAAAAAGAAGCTCCTTGTGATCAATAACTGGAAACTCCAGGAGACAGAAACGAGAATAATGGAACACCTGATTCTTACCCAAAAATGCCGCTGGGAGCCCAGTCCTACAGCAGTTGCGCAATTCAGGTAACTATTTTGTTTGATTCTCATTCGGCAACTCTTATGATTTCATAGCATTGAGCCAAGGTAATTGAAGTGGCAATGAACTGCATTAATTCTATAGTGTAGATAAACTTTTAATGAATGGAGCAGGTGTATTCCAGGGCTTTGCTTCTTTAACAGAAGCAATGGTACCAGACATGGACACAGGAAGGGTCCTATGCCACAATGCTCCCAATGCTGTTAAACAAAGCCTTCCAGCTGGACAGAAGACAAGAGGCAAAGGAAAAGGTTTAATTTAAAATTTCATGTAAAAGAGTTTCTTTATCTGAGGCTTTGTAAACAGAGGTATGCCTGTTATTCTAACATATTGCCAGTCTCTTTTGCAGGGCACAGCTGAAGCAATGCTGCAATGCTTCCTTTCGCTTAGTGACGACCAAGGAGAACACACGACTGGGGTCATACATCATCTTCGATGGGAGCCCAACTCACAAACTGCGTGTGGATACTAAGCTGTTGGATCTGTTGCCGGAGGTGTGGGAATTTTTTTCTTTGTGATTTTAATGGTATGGAAGGTGCAAAAAGTCAGTAATGGCTGTATAACAATAGAACAGTAAGTGCCACATAAGCGGAAGTTGCCTGATATAATCTTTGGCCTATCCATTTAAAGCAGGGGTTCTCAACCTTCCTAATGCCGTGACCTCTTAATAGTAAAGATAAAGATTTAGTCTAGTCGTGTCTGACTTTCGGGGTTGGTGCTCACCTCCATTTCTAAGCCAAAGAGCCGGTGTTGTCAGTAGAGACCCTCAAGCTCATGTGGCCGGCATGACTGCATGGAGCACCGTCACCTTCCCGCTGGAGCGATACCTATTGATCTACTTACATTTGCATGTTTTCAAACTGCTAGGTTGGCAGAAGCTGGGGCTAACAGCGAGAACTCACGCCGCTCCCCAAATTCGAAACTGCAACCTTTCAGTTAGCAAGTTCAGCAGCTCAGCAGTTTAACCCACTGCGCCACTGGGGGCTCTGACCCCTTAATACAGTTCCTCATGTTGTGGTGACCCTCAACCATAAAATTGCCATATGGGAGTTGTAGTTCACCCGCATCCGAAAAGCACTGAACTCAGCTGACAACGGAACTGGACCAAGTTCGGCACACAGACCAAACATGGCCAACTGTGAATACTGGTGGGATTTGGGGAGGATTAACTCATGATTTTGGGAGTTGTAGTTCATCCACATTCTTATGCATTAATAAAAAACAAAAGGAAAGACTGAGTTTTTTCTAATATATAGCCTTACAAATTACCTGGTACTGCTGGGCCACTCAGTCTCACGTTGAGTGGGGGCTTTTCCCCCTGCCTTGAAGGGGGACTCACTAGTGCAAGCCTCCCTCCAGCCTCGCGTGCTATCCCTTGCCCGTGCATATGCACCACACTGCCATGCGCTGAGCATAGCTGCTCTCCCCTCCCCACTTGGAGTCTCAGAAACAGTCCTTCCCTTGGCTGAGAGGCCGGTCAATCACAGCAAAGGAGGGCTTTTGGTGGGAGGATTCGCCACCTGTTCATGAAAAGGAAGAGAAGGGCAGGCAGAGTGATCTTCTCTGCCAAAGGGACCATCAGAAATATGTGCTTTCTGATGATCTTTGGCAACCCCTCTGAAATCCCCCTTGAGGCCACATCACGGGTCCCAATCCCTAGGTTGAGAAACACTGAATTAAAAGAACTCAGAATACGATCAATATTTATTTATTTGCGGTATTTGCATACTGCTCTTCTCGACCCCGAAGAGATAGGTTGCAGCTGGGTGTTACTGGATATAAGGAGCCTTGGGAATGATCTTCGGGAGAAAAGTATTTGTCTTATTTTGGTGGTAGATGCTGCTGATTTTCCCCCAGGTTTGTGGATTTTCGATATCCTGACCTGTCTCCTGAATTCTTGGAACCCTGGAACCTTGAATCTCTGGACTGGCTTTTGACTATGGTATAGGCTCTTGATCCCTGGTCTTTACACATTGAACTCTCAACGTTTGACCTCTGGACGGGACCCTTTGACTACGGTGTTCTCTTGAACCTGCATCAACGTTTGCAAGCAGTTTTTGTTTTTATTGTTCTGTGGCTGGGTGATATCTTTATGTTTTATATTTTGGACTATTAAAACAGCCAGAAAGTAAGTGTTGTTTTAATTAAACTGTTTGATACAAACTGGGTGTTTGTTGGGTTCACCTCTGCCTGCGTACTGGCAGAGCCCTGGCAATGTGACAGAATACTTTTCTCCCAATGATCAGTCCCAAGACTAGCTCCTTATATCCAGTAACACCCAGCTGCCACCTATCTATTGTATGCCTCCACTCTTAATTGCTTTCACCCATAAACTCTTACTTACAGATTACTCAACCCTTTAGAACTAAAACTTACATTAACCCCTCCATCACTAACTGTTAGTGTGCTGTCGCGTGCTGGGCCTATGACAATGTCTGTTTATAGGACGTGCTTTGGACGCTGGGGTGTCTCACCTAAAGGGTCCCTTAGGTTTCCCAAAACAAAGTTCTGTAGAGGCTCAAAATAAGTCCAACCAAGTTCTTTATTAAGGCTTAAATCTTTGAACAAATGCATAAAATGCCATATAATCTTGAAAAACTGGTAGCTTTCTCGATCTGCCAACAAGGGTCAGGCAACTGCTTGATAAACTGTTCTTATTTTCTTTGGGAAAACCTTCCGACCCCTCCTTGGGCAATCTTTCTTAACCCTGCTGGCGTGAGGCCCCAACTCCCAGCTCCAAGCTACGTTATGGATAGCCCGAGTGGTCCCTTACCAGGCAATGGTTGCTGCAGATCTGCCAAGCTGCTGTCCTTTTAGTTTCTCCATGAAGGCTATGGAACTGTAACTTTACTCTCGAGCAAAGCTGTAGAGGTTTTCTTTTTCCCAGCAAAAGCTGACTGTAGATCTATATATTTGATCCCGGCAGAGCTGTAAGAAGTGAAGCTTTTTACAGGTGGGGTAGAGAAAAGCCCACACGTCCTACTGTAGGGCTCCAAACTGTGAGACTGGACTGAAAGTCCCCTTTTTCCTCCAAACCTGGGGAAAGGGGTGGATTTAAAGGCTCTAATGATGATTGCAACCTGGGGAAAGCTACCCAATTGCAAAATGCATGGCCCAGATGAAATTCAAACAAACTAACAGTGCAAGAAAAAGAATAAAATCTCCTGGCACAGCCGTGCCAGCACAGTTAGGCCTGCCACCACCAATCACCATGTACTGCAGAATATGATACATAACATAGTGGGTTTATCCCGCACCTTCCAAGAAGGCACGAAATAAACCACTATCAAATTAATTTGCCACAAACCAGGGTTTTCCTGGTTTGTGGTGAATTAATTCAGGTTTGTCCAGGATGTCATTTGGACAGCCCCCTTTTCATTACGGTACCTCCCACATGAAAGGGGCTGTCTAGATGTGCCCTGAGATTACTGTTGCATTCTCTAGTAATTTCTGCCTCATAATGTAGACAATGTCCTATAATCCATCTTAAAATAGATATTGCAGAGTCAGAAAATTGTGAGAAAGGGCAACAAATATGCTATATGGAGTGGAACACCTTCCCTGTGAACTAAAGCATTTGTGACATGGGGCACTTGGCCTTTTCACTTAGGAAATACTTCAGGGAAGATATGGTCAAGGTTTATAAAAATATGCGTCCTTCTCATCAACCAAATTTGGAAAACTGCTCATCTTTGTTAGCCATCAGAAGCAATTCCATAGAGTTTGAGATCTGGAATGTATTTATCTGGGAGGACATCTGGACACCCAGCCCAGAAAGCACGGGGTGTGTGTGGATAGAGGCCTAGGAACATCTGCTGTGTGGAAGGGCCCTCCGTGATAAGATAACAAAACCCTGTCCAGTTGAGTGAAAGAAATCAAGGGTGTATCTGTTCTGCAGACTTAATGCAGTTTGACATTACTCTAATTCATAACTTGGTACGATGGAATCGTGGAAGCTGCTGTTGTGTAATCGAAAAATTGTATTCCCCAAAATATGAGTTATAAAAAGTTATATGAATCTTCATGAATTGGCAAAGCCACTGTCTTGTGATGTCCAGCAGACTGATTCCTCTGCCTCACCTCTTTCTTTGCTCATCAAAACTCACTTTGGAAACAGACGGGCTTTACGCCAGAAGGAATTTGCATAATCCCTTTGCTAAATATATTGCCTCGGGGACATTCAGCTAAAAAGGAAATAGTCTAGCCGCACCTAGATGTGTGCAACCACTTTACATAATACTAACTGTCCCCTGCTACGTGTTGCTGTGGCCCAGTCTAGTGATCTGGAAAATAAAGTAATGAGAAAGTGCTGGTTTCTAATATATGTAATTTCTTTATGCTTGTGGGTAAACAGTATTTCTTGTTGTTTCTTTGTCAGTATTGATGTGGAGATTGGTTTGCCTACTCTTGAACATGCAACATATAATTGTCCTTTTTTAGGGGTCCCTTTTAAATCTATGATACTATAGCTGTCATATGTGTGTGTGTGTGTGAATCATATCTATCTCTATCTATCTATCTATCTATCTATCTATCTATCTATCTATCTATCTATCTATGGCTGGATGGCTCTTTGTCAAGAGAGCTTTGATTGTGTTTTCTTGCCCTGGTGAAGGGAGTTGGAATGGATAGCTTTAAGGCAGCATTTCTCATCCTTGGGGTCGGGACTCCTCGGGGGTTCCTGAGGGGGTGTCAGAAGGATGTCCAAAGACCACCAGAAAACACAATATTTTCTGTTGCTCTTGGGGGTTCTGTGTGGGAAGTTTCGCCCCATTCTCTCATTGGTGAGGTTAAGAATGCTCTTTGATTGTAGGTTAACTATAAATCCCAGTAACTACAACTCCCAAATGTCAAGGTCTACTTCCAGAGGTGGCCCTAGGTAATTTTCAATGGTAAGCAAACAGTATTTTGCCCCCCCCCCCCCCAAACCAATCACTGATATATATTTTCTGTTCGTCGTGGGAGTTCTGTGTGCCATATTTGGTTCAGTTCCATCATTGGTGGAGTTCAGAATGCTCTTTGATTGTAGGTGAACTATACATCCCAGTAACTACAACTCGCATATGTCAAGTTCTATTTTCCCCCAAGAGCGCCTCAGGAGTGCCCCTCGGCAAAATCAACTATACTGCAAATGCTTACTTTGTGTAATGGGATGAGCCACCCCTGCCAGCAAATATATCTCATTTGCTGTGACATACTGTGTTTTTGTGTCAGTAAAATAATAAATAATGTCATTGAGAAGTTTTTTCCAGCTTTCATTGATATCCACCACGAGAATAAGTGCACAAGTTGGTGAGAAAGGTTTCACCCATTGTGGAATCATAGAATCAGAGAGTTGGAAGAGACTTTGTAAGCCATCCAATCCAACCCTCTGCCAAGAAGTCGCAAAATCTCATTCAAAGCACCCCCAACAGATGGCTATTCAGCCTTTGCTTAAAAGCCTCCAAAGAAGGAGCCTCCACCACACTGCAGGGCAGAGAGTTCCACTGCTGAACAGCTCTCACTTTTAGAAACACCGCCATACAGTATCTGCATGATTTGAATGGCTTTGAGGTTTTTTTTATTGAGATTTTTAAATCATGTGATTATATTTACTTCTGTTCTCTCCCACCTACAAATCTAGAAATCACCCTTTGCGGACACTTCTTATAGGAAGTGTGCAGTGGTTGGCAATGGAGGCATCCTATTCAACAGCTCCTGTGGGCAGCAGATTGATCGGGCAGATCTAGTAATCAGGTAAGTTTTCTTTGAGTTCAGTTGGGCTGCTTCGACATAGCCACATAATCCGGAACAGAATGTGGATTAAAGAAATCCAGTTTCATTCTGGAGAGTCTCCACACACATCCCAGGATCTGCAAAAAAAGCTCCTGGGACATCCACAAAACTCCCCTCAAGCTGAATCAATTCAGCAGGATGGAATCTTTCTCTCTCTCTCATCCTGTTTGGAGAAATGCACTGAAGTACAGCAGCCCATTGGATGAAAGTCAGCAATAGAGGTAATCTTCCAACTCAAAAACAAGAAGGGGAAAGTGATTTCTTTTTGGGGAGGGGAGGAAAGGTGTTTGTTTACCTCCTGGAGATCACCATAGCTGGTTCCTTTATCTGAATTTTTCAGACGTGGTGCTGTTGACATGAATGCTATTGTGCTGGTACGGCTGTACCAGGAGCTCCAAACTCCCTTTCGTTCTTTGAGCGTTTGCATGTGCTTGTTCTGGCCATGCATTTTGCAGTTGGATGGTTCCTGCTAGGCTGCAGTCATGGGGCTAGCCACCTGTCTATCATCGGAAAGTTTTAGTTCCGCCCTTTTTTCCAGGTTCAGGAGGGAAAGGGAACCATTTTAGTTCAGTTTTACAGTTGGAAGCTCAGCTACAGGACGTGAAAGTTTTCTATTTTATTTATTTATTATTTATTTACTTTATTTGTATACCGCAGTTTCTCAGCCCGTAGGCAACTCAACACGGTTAACAACAAGAGAAAAAATTCAATGCTAACAAAATACACTATTTAAAAACAATTAACACCGCAATATACTAAGTAATTACACATCAATAAACAACACATTAACATCTCGTAACTAGAATCATGATCCAGCTCGTCATCTGTAATTCCGTTTTCCTATATTCATTATATTCATTGCACTGTTTATCCAAACGCCTGTTCAAATAGCCAGGTTTTCAGTTTTCTTCGAAACACCATTAACGAGGGGGCCGATCTAATGTCCATGGGAAGGGCGTTCCACCTGTAGAGAAGCTTTGTTTCTTACAAAGCCCGGGGGAAAACAGTCCCAAAAGCTCTGGCTGGGGAATTTACAGCCTCACAGCTTTAAGAACAGTCTCTAAAGAAAGGCTTTTAAGAGAAAGAGCTTTACAGCACAACTCTTGTTGGGGTTGGAGAAACGGACCAACAACTTTTGTGGGAAAAATCCTAAGGACTCCAGTTGGAAATTCTTCAGAGCCTTGGCTGGTAGGACAACTCGGGTACCTAAGAAGCAGTTTGAAGCCGGGAGTAGGGCCCACACCAGCAAAGCCTAGAAAGCAGATTGCCCAGGGAAGGGGTCAAAAAGGGTTTTCCTCATAAAGGAAAGAAATAGTTCTCAAAGCAAGTTGCCTGTCCATTGTAAACAAGTTAAGAAGCATTTGTTTGATTTGTTGAAGATCTAAGATTGTTTGTTGAAGACCTAAGCGATAATAAAGAACTTTATTAAACTTTTAAAGCTTCTAAAGACTTTGTATAGGAAAACCCATAGGGCCTCTCATCCGAGGCACCCTGGCTTCCCGCTGGGCACAAAGAGCACGTCCTGTTCAAAAGCCAATTGCTATAGGCCCAGCGCGAGACAGCACAGCTATGCATGTTCTTCCTGAATTTCTGCTCTGCAGCATCCATACACTGATCTGCTGCAGTGCATTTTATCGCCAAGTTTGGACTTTCTGCTGATTTTTTAAAACACATGTTTCCCATATGGATGTGCGTTTTCTAGTCACTCCTAAAAGTAAGGTAAAGGTTGTCCCCTGACATTAAGTCCAGTCATGTCTGACTCTGGGGTGTGGTGCTCATCTCCATTTCTAAGCCGAAGAGCATTGTTGTCCGTAGACACCTCCAAGGTCATGTGGCCGGCATGACTGCATGGAGCGTTACCTTCCCGCTGGAGCGGTACCTATTGATCTACACACATTTGCATGTTTTCGAACTGCTAGGTTGGCAGAAGCTAGGGCTGACAGCGGAAGCTCATGCAGCTCCCCGGAATTGAACCTGCGATCTTTTGGTCGACAAGCTCAGCAGCTCAGCGCTTTAACCCACTGCACCACCGGGGGCTTCTATCCTCCCTATAATTGACATCATTTTGGATTTTACAACATGTGTAGATGGAACCTTAAAGCACCCTTCTATAGATTTTTAGACCAACTATTTTTATTTGTTTATTTTTATTCTAGTTAGCCTTGGGGAGAGCGGGTGGTCTATTATTTATTTATAAATTATTATTATTATTATTATTATTATTATTATTATTGGAAGCCACAGTGGTGCAATGGGTTAAACCCTTGTGGTGGCTGAACTGATGCTCTGAAGATTGGTGGTTCAAATCCACAAGATGAGGTGAGCTCCTGTCTGTCAGCTCCAGCTTCCCATGCAGGGACATGAGAAAAGCCTCCCACAGGCATCCCCTGGGCAACATTCCTGCAGACGGCCAATTTTCTCACACTAGAAGCGACAGTTTCTCTAGTTGATTCTGACATTAAAAAATATTATTAATGATAAATAACAGCAGATTCAGGGAATTAAGGATGGAAAAAAACATTATTTGACTGATGATGCAGCTTTTGATACCTCCTTACCATTCTCTCTCCATAAACGATCCAGGTTCAACCTGCCTCCCATGAACTTCTCTGAAGATATGGGAACAAAGACAAGCCTGGTGACCATCAACCCCAGCATCCTTCAGAATAGGTATGGATACAGGGAAAACAGGGATAGCGCATCTTTTTAGTAGAAATATAAATAAAAAAGGTAAAGGTTTTCCCCTGACATTCAGTCTAGTTGTGTCCGACTCTGAGAATTGGTACTCATCTCCATTTCTAAGCTGAAGAGCTGGTGTTGTCCATAGACACCTCCAAGGTCATGTGGCCAGCATGACTGCATGGAGCGCCATTAACAAATACATTAACTAAAAACAGACTGAGCATCCCTCATGTGGAATCCTGAAATTTTAAGTACTCCAAAATTGTACACATAGGGGGCTGAAATAGTGACACCTTTGCTTTTTGGTGGCTCCATGTACACAAACTTTGTTTCATGTCCAAAATTATTAAAAAATATCGGACAAAATTATCTTCAGGTCATGTGTATAAGGTATATATAAAATATCAATGAATTTTGGGTTTAGACTTGGTCCCTTTTTCCAAAATATTCCATTATGCAGATAATTTGAAAATACGGGTATTTTGTATAGAATCATGGAATCAATGCCTCACATTATGGAGATTTCTGCAGTAAAAAATACTAGCTCTTTTTATGGGGGAGATTAGCCCACAAGGACCACCTCATTTGACTACATTCTTCGTCAGGAATGAATGGAATTCTGAGTAGCTAGTCAGTGAACCTGTCAAAACTGAGGTCACCTGTTTTGAGGCTTTCAGTAGTTTTATTTTTATGATGATGAAGAAAAGACAGCTTAGCTATCTGTCTGAGGTGACTGGCTTCTGTACAGCTGGAGTATCTAAGTGCTAGTTAACGTAAAGAACAAGTACGCTTTTCTGGCCATCCAGCCTCTGTTTAAAAGCCTCCAAAGAAGGAGCCTCGACCACACTCCGGGGCAGAGAGTTCCACTGCTGAACGGCTCTCACAGTCAGGAAGTTCTTCCTCATGTTCAGATGGAATCTCCTCTCTTGTAGTTTGAAGCCATTGTTCTGGTCCTAGTCTCCAGGGATGCAGAAAACAAGCTTGCTCCCTCCTCCCTGTGGCTTCCTCTCACATATTTATACATGGCTATCATATCTCCTCTCAGCCTTCTCTTCTTCAGGCTAAACATGCCCAGCTCCTTAAGCTGCTCCTCATAGGGCTTGTTCTCCAAACCCTTGATTATTTTAGTCGCCCTCCTCTGGACACATTCCAGCTTTCCAATATCTCTCTTGAATTGTGGTGCCCACAATTAGACACAATATTCCAGGTGTGGTCTAACCAAAGCGGAATAGAGGGGTAGCATTACTTCCCTAGATCTAGACACTAGGCTCCTATTGATGCAGGCCAAAATCCCATTGGCTTTTTTTGCCGCCACATCACATTGTTGGCTCATGTTTAACTTGTTGTCCACGAGGACTCCAAGATCTTTTTCACACGTACTGCTCTCGAGCCAGGCATTGTCCCCCATTCTATATCTTTGCATTTTGTTTTTTTTTGCCAAAGTGGAGTATCTTGCATTTGTCCCTGTTGAACTTCATTGTGTTAGTCTTGCCCCATCTCTCTAATCTGTCAAGATTGTTTTGAATTCTGCTCCTGTCCTCTAGAGTATTGGCTATCCCTCCCAATTTGGTGTCATCTGCAAACTTGATGATCCTGCCTTCTTACAATAGAAGTTATATATTGTAATGAGGAGCAACACACAAGTTAAAAATAGCTATTACAGTTTACTTTTGTCTGAGCCTATTGGAAATAGATTTTGCCCACTGATCTACTCTTCCTCCTGCTAGGTTAATGGAGTATCAGCTACTTTTGCACTTTGAAATCAGTTTGCACAACTGAAGATCCAGAGAAATCATGCTACCCATGCTCTATTCTGCATTGGTTAGACCACACCTGGAATACTGTGTCCATTTCTGGGCACCACAATTGAAGGGAGATGTTGACAAGGTGGAATATGTCCAGAGGAGGCTGACTAAAATGATCAATGGTCTGGAGAACAAGCCCTATGAGGAGCGGCTTAAAGAGCTGGGCAAGTTTAGCCTGAAAAAAAGATGGCTGAGAGGAAACATGATAGCCACCTATAAATATGTGAGAGGAAGTCATAGGGAGGAGGGAGCAAGCTTGTTTTCTGCTGCCCTGGAGACTAAGACGCGGAACAATGGCTTCAAACTACAGGAAAGAAGATTCTATCTGAACATGAGGAAGAACTTCCTGACTGTGAGAGCCATTCAGCAGTGGAACTCTCTGCCCCGGAGTGTGGTGGAGGCTCCTTCTTTGGAAGCTTTTAAACAGAGGCTGGATGGCTATCTGTCAGGGGTGATTTGAATGCAATATTTCTGCTTCTTGGCAGGGGGTTGGACTGGATGGCCCATGAGGTCTCTATGATATTGTTGTTGATGTTTTTGGTATTGCCGTACCCCACTTTCCTCTCTTAAATGATACTCAAAATGACTGTATGCTGATGTTGCTTGATTATGTTCATCTTTCTGAAATTTTGGGAATATGTGTGAATGATATTGTAAGAATATGTGTCTTCAAATTCTGAATGCAGCCTTTCCTTCTTCCTGCAGATTCAAGTTCTTGCAGGAACGGCGGAAATCCTTTCTAGAAGCCATTCACTCTTACGGCGATGCCACCTTCCTTCTCCCTGCTTTATCCTTTGTGGGAGACAACGTTCTGGGCTACCGTGTGCTGTACACCTTGGAGGACTTTGGCCTGGAGCATCAGGCTCTCTTCCTGAACCCACAGTATTTGCACAACCTGGCTAACTTCTGGAAGAAAAGGGGCTTGGAGACAAACCGGCTTTCCTCTGGCTTCATGTTGGTTAGCATGGCTTTGGAGTTCTGCCAGCACATCACCCTCTATGGTTTCTGGCCCTTCTCATATGACTTGAACAATCAATCCATTCCTCACCACTACTATGATAACGTGTTGCCCAAACCCGGGATACATGCCATGCCCACAGAGTTCTCGTATTATCTCAGCATGTATGCTGAAGGTGTCCTGCGGTTACAAGTGGGCAAGTGTCAGTGACAGCTTTATGCCTGGGTTGGAATTATCTTCTAAACCAGATGTGGTCAACCGTGGAAGGCCAAGGCGCCATCTTAACGCCCTAGAAGACTTTAAACTGGTGCTCTTCAACCATACCCAGAAATAAATTGCCCATAAATTCCTTCTAGGATCTATGGGTGGCATTTTTGTCACTCCCCATTCATTTCTAAGAAATGGTTCAGGGCGCATGAAATGTGACAAAAATCCCTCCCCCTCACCTTCTAGATGGCCTTTGGGGAAAATATAAGTTAGGACATTTTCTATGTTTGTTTTCCTTGAAATAATAACAATAACAACAACAATAATAATTTTAATTCTTACCCGCCGGGTCATGGCTTAAGAGGGGGGAAGTCACAGCACAGCCGAACACACAAACATTGCAAAAGTCCAAAAATACACAGATGAAAATGTATTTCTATAAAATACATATTAATTACACAGGGCACAAGTTTAAAATTCATGCTTAAATCCGGCTGGGTAGGCCTGTCAGAAAAGATAGGTATTTAAACGGGTTTTAAATTCCCTACAACTCATTCAGCTGTTGGAGCTCTTCTGGCAGGTCGTTCCACAGTCTTGGGGTGGCTGTTGAAAAGGTCCTCTGGGTAATGATCGCCAGTTAGGTTCTGGCAAGCTGGAGTAACCGTCTCCAAGAGGACATAAGTGTTTGGAGCGGATTGCATGGTAGAAGCCAATCCTATTCGTAATCTGGACCCAAACCATGTATGACTTTCAAGCTCACAACCAACACCTTGTACTTTCTCTAGAAACTAATTGGCAGCCAGTGGTGCGACTTTAGAATAGGAGTAATATGCTTATTCCTAGATTTTCCCGTAACCAATCTGGCTGCTGTTTTTTGAACCAGATGGAGTTTCCAAACTTGGCACAGAGGTATCTCAATGTAAAGTGCATTGCAGAAACCCAGCCTTGAGTTTAGCAGTGCATTTACAAACGTTTAGAAATGTTAATGTTAAATAAATGTTAATGTTAAATAAATGTTAATGTTAAATAAATAAATACTGCTTCTTATACACAGGATGGAAAATTCCCCTTCCTGAGAGATGCATTAATAATTTATTGTATTTGAAATCGAATTGCATCTCCTTCCTGGACGTCCAGCCAAAACAGACAAGGATCAAGAAAACAGGTTGTCCTCCTTACTATCCCCATCAGCTTGTCCACATCCATATTACTCATCAATTGCAACTGATCTTGTTAGGGATAGCAACCTTCTCAAGCCTCCTCTATTTAATGTTTTGTCTGTTTATAATGTGTCATTTATTTCCTGAAGTGTATGTCTTCATTGGTTTGCAGTTTTCTTAGCTCTATTTATTTGAGGCGGTGTGTGCCGTCGCGACTGGGGGCTATAGCTCTTAGTGAAAGAGACATGGACGTGACATCTTTTCTCCAGGGGATTGCTTCTTGCCCTCCTTTAGAGAACTGGAACTCTCAAGGACCAAGACACTACAGATAACTCGAAATAGGTTTTATTGTTCACAATGAGTTATCTTCATTAGGCATATTCAAAGGGGTAAAGGAAACATACCTTACAGTCTCTGGAGTCTTGGGTCCAAAGAGTTTTCTAGCTGAGAAGCTTTCCAAGTTCCCTCTTTTCTCAATGGCTGTGAAAGTCGGAACAATCACAACCTCAGTCCAATGGCCTATATTTGAAGGCACAAAGCCTTCCTCTTGATGCCAAAAGACTGGTTTGAAGACGCTTGAGACTCCTCAACATCGTCCAGGGTGAACTGGGCATGAAGTGTGAGTCCCAAGGGTATAAACCTGAGAATTGGTGATGAGAGAAAACTTGATCAAGGGCTTTAGAGCCAAGTCTTTCTCACGTCCATCTGTATAGCTATTTGATGATGGAATGAAAAAGGAAAGCACTGCCCTCCTCCCCAGGAAGGGGAGGAGCCAAACAATTAAGCAGGGGAGGCAATTCAACAGATGCAAACAACATTGATAGAAAGCAGTGGATAGCCAAACAATTCAACTGTACATTCACATATAAGTAGGGCCAGACACACCGTCACACGGTGGGAAGGGCTGCAGACCATGTGACTGGTTCAGTGACTGTTTAGAATGCAGTTTTAAAAGGATGACAGTTGAGGCTTGAGTCTGTTTAAGTACAGAGGTCAGTGTAGGAAGTTAGAAGTCAGTTGAGGCTTGAGTCTCTTTGAGTACAGAAGCCAGTGTTAGAAGTCAGTTGAGTCATTTGGAAGTTGACGGTTATGAAAGAAGGCCGTATAGAGCAATATAGATTTGAAGAGACTGTTAAAGAGTATAAGTTAAAGATACAAACTGAAACATTTTAAAGTTTAACCTGACAAGAAATGTACCTTTATATTTAAATACATGACGCTGTGAGTAAAACAAACATGTTATTTTAAAGAAGTCTACTTGAATCTTTGTCTCCTGAGAGCATTGAATAGAAACAAGATATTTACATGTCCAGTGATCATCCGTTGTTGTTCATTTGTTCAGTCGCTTCCGACTCTTCGTGACCTCATGGACCATCCCACACCAGAGCGCCCCCCCCCCCCCCCCCCCCCGTCGGCCATCACCACCCCCAGCTCCTTCAGAGTCAAGCCAGTCACTTCAAGGATACCATCAATCCACTTTGCCCTTGGTCAGCCCCTCTTCCTTTTTCCTTCCATTTTCCCAGCATCATTGTCTTCTCTAAGCTTTCCTTCTCATGATGTGGCCAAAGTGCTTCATCTTTGCCTCTACTATCTTTCCCTCCAATTTTATTTATTTATTTATTATTCAAACTTATATGCCGCCACTCTCCTAGTGCTCGGAGCGGCTTACAAGAAACAACTCGAATCTAACACAATTTAAAACAACATATCAAAGATCAAAAACCTGTCGAAACAAATATGTCTTACAAGCCCTGTGGAAAGCTGATAACTCCTGCAAGGCACGGACTTCTGGTGGCAGAGTGTTCCAGAGCGATGGTGCCACTGCTGTAAAGGCTCTGCGTCTAGTTGCTGTTAGACGCAAGGTTTTAAAACTGGGAACTTCCAATAAATCTTGGTCCTCGGAGCGGAGAGATCTCGGGTTGGTAGGGGGTGAGGCGGTCTCTCAGGTACATTGGCCCGAGACCATGTAAGGCCTTAAAGGTAAGTACCATCACTTTAAAAGTGATCCGGTGCTCAATTGGTAACCAATGCAACTGCAGTAAGATTGGGGTTATGTGGCATCTCATCGGAGCTCTCGTGAGAATCCGAGCAGCTGCAATTTTTCACCAATTTGAGCTTCCGGATCACCAGCAAAGGAAGGCCAATGTAGAGGGCGTTATAGTAGTCCAGTCTTGAGATGACCGTGGCCTGGAGTACCATAGCCAGGTCGTCCCTGGACAGAGAGAGGGCCAGCCGTCTAGCCTGCCGCAGATGAAAAAAGGCAGTTCTGCTCACGGCGGAGACCTGAGCCTCCATCGTCAGCAGAGGGTCCAAAAGGACTCCCAGACTCTTTACCAACGATGACGGGCGTAGCGCCTCGCCATCCAGGGTAGGCAATGAGTGGTCGGGTCATTGATAATCCATTACCCAATAAATTAAAGGAACACTTCTGAAACTCTGCTACCTAATTCCCCAATAGGTTGTGGTCCTAACAGAAAGAGTCCAGAAACCAGCAATAGCAGATCTGGATGGAGATGTTTCAGGCCTCGTCCAGAGCAACAGCAACCACAGATCCAGTGTATTGGCAGTGGGCAAGGGCACATGGTCCATATCCTATATTTTGCTTTGCATTTTGAAGCCATGGGAAAACAGTAAGGTTTGAGAACCTGAAGGTGGTGGCACAAACATTTGTGTTTGCTGAGAAAAATCTGGAATGTGATACGGCTGCTGCAGAAGTACAATTTTGTGTAAGCAATTCCTGACATCTAGGAAAGGAGTGAAGAACCTCTGGTATTGAAGCTGAAGACATTTCCTAGGTTTTCTTTGACCTGCTCCAATCCTTACAGTCAACGATGAAAACTGTAGTGCAGAGTACTAGTGAATATAACATAATAAAGATGGAGTATGGATGAAAAATGGGAAAAATAATATACTCCCCCCCCCCCCCCCACTTTTGATAGAGCTGCTCTGCAGGTATGCATGGCTGTGGATCGGCGGATCCCACCTTTTGGTCTACCCAGAAGCCCCAGTCAGCTTGGCTAACTGTTGGGGATTCTGATATCTGGTGTCCAAAATGCATGGAGGACCATAGGATGTGGGCCATTGGGATAAATGAAAGAGAATGAATATATGTATGTACTAGCCGTCCCTTGCCACGCGTTGCTGTGGCCCAATCTGTTGATCTGGAAAATAAAATAATGAGAAAGTGTTTCTAATATACGTAATTTCTTTATGCTTGTGGGTAAACAGTATTTCTTGTTGTTTCTTTGTCAGTGTTGGTGTGGAGAGTGTCTGGTTTGCCTGCTCTGGAATATGCAACATATAATTGTCCTTCTTTAGGGGTCCCTTACAAATCTAGGATACTATATCTGTATGTGTGTGTGAATAATATATATCTATCTATGTTTATAACTGGATGGATCTTCCAGTGAAATGAGAATGAAAATATTTTGCAATATAAGCAGTAAGAAATATACAAAGAGAATTAACGTTAGGCAAAATCAGTTGTGCTATTGAGATAAATCTTAGCAAGCATTTTGGAAAGCTTGTGCTATTACTAGTGATGTAAGTAAGTGAGAAAAAGTGGGCAGAGGGAGAAAGATTTTGGGGAAATAGATAGTGGAGGTTCACCATGTGTCTAGAACAAAACAGTCAGGATACAGGCTAGATCTACACTGCTAGTTTAGAATTGCATTATATGGTCGATGTTGACTCATATAATGTAGTTCAATGCAGGTAAAGTGCATTGTATGGGTGTACAGTTCCAAACTGCAATATATGGCAGTGCAGACCCAGCCATAGGCAAAAATAAAGGTTCCTACTAGAAGGACATTCATGCTTTTTGTGTGCCCTACAAAAGACTACTTGATTGGTATGCACAGCTTGGAAAAAGAAGGCAGAAAAAACAGCGACAATAGAAAACTGGATTGAAAAAGTGATGGACATCATGAACATGGACCTTTTAACCCAAAAAATTGCCCAAAACACATCAAAATCAAATAGAACAGACTGGAGCAGCTTTATTAACATTTTTTTTTTAAAAAAAAGAACAAATACAAATGATTATAAAAGCAGAATAAAGAATTATCTCGGTTAGGACTTAAAACACACACAAAGTGGCATTTACATCAGGAACATTGGGAAAAGGAATTAAATAATACCACTAGAAGCGATCTGGAAGTGACAAGGAAAAATGGATAAGTGTTTGTTTGTCAGGTAAGTTTTTGGGGTGATTGTTGTTTGTTTTTCTTTTTACATTTCTATGCTTTTCTTTCTCATCTTTATACTCTCTCTTTATGATGTTCTCCTACTTTCGCAATATTAAAAACCAATATATAGGTATGTATGGGATATTTTAATCATTCATGTATACAAATTTTTTGTTTAATGTCTTTTATGTTATTTATTAATAAAAATCATTATGCAAAAAGAAAAAAAAGAAAAAGCGAGAACTGCTAGCACAAAATACTCCTTCTAGAAAAATCAGGGAAGGAAATGTGTGGCTTCCTAAATCTCAGCTTCTTCCAAAGCCAAACAAATTTACCAATTTTTCACACTTCCAGATGGTAAGTCATACAGCTGGTGTTGTAATGGAAACTTATTCTTCATTCTATTTGCTCGTGGGTCCCATTCCTACACATACCTCACCGACATTTTCCGTATCGTAAGAGCAACACATTCCGGGAGTACATGTGAACGTAACATGAGAATTCAGTGGACATGTTATGTACATCATCGGGCAAAATGTCATCGTAGTAGTGGTAAGAGACAGCCTGTCCATCCAGGTCATGCGAGAAGGGCCAGAAGCCATAGAGGGTTATGTGCTGGCAAAACTCTAAAGCCACGTTGATAAATATGAAGCCGGAGGAGAGCCGTAGTGTCGCCAAGCTTTCCTTCCTCCAATAATCAGTCAAGTTGCGCTGGTACTCTGGATTCAAGAAGAAGACCTTCTTTCCCAACCCCAATGCCTCCATGGTATACAAGGCATGGTAGGCTATGCTATTATCGCCTGAATTAGTGAAGGCTGGGATGAGGAAGACAGCATTCATGTAAGGTTGCAGGGCATCTGCATAGGGATCCCACTCTTGCTGCAAGAAATGGAATCTAGAGGAAAAAAGAATCCTACTTTCAAAAAATGGAAGAAAAGTAGAAGTGCTCAGAATCATAAAATCATAGAATTGGAAAAGACAAGGGTCATCCAACTCAGCCCCATTCTGCCATGCAAGAAGCCTCTTGTGTTTGGCCAGCATGCTGAGTAGTTGTTGGTTGGAATTCAATCCCCAGAGATATTAGGTAAGCCCCCCAGGCTGGCAATCTTCAGGAGGAATCTGAAAACCTGGTTGTTCCAATGTGCCTTCAATGATTGAATGTAAGATACTCCCTAATCAAACTTTGCACAGAATGACCTCAGAAGCACTTTATTTTATGGTTCGTGCAATTAAATCCTTCCTCACTCCTGGATCCTCCTCCCCGATAATTTACATTGTCCTATCTCCCAGTGCTTTAAATTTTTATCTTTGAATTTGGTCCTGCCCAGTGTAATCTTTTGTGTTTTAATGTCTGATTTTATATTGTTGTGTTGCTTATTATATTGGTTTTGCATTTTATGTATTTTATTTTCTGGTTTTGTTATGCTTTTGTGTTATATTGTGTGTACTGTACTAATGGGTGTGGCCACATGTAAGCCGCACCGAGCCCCCCTGGGGGAGATGGAGCAGGGTATAAATAAAGTTTTATATTATAATTATCGGTTCTGGGTGTAGATGAGGGAGCTGCTGTTCCTGACTGGATTCTAGTTTAATAGTTAAACTCTCACTTGACTTAAATCAAGAAATAGTTTTCTAAGATCTACAGAGACACTCGCTGGAACACCCCAGCAAGCGAGAGTCCAAAAGTGGCAGGCTCAAACCCAGAACCTCAATCAATGGCTGATACCAAATGAGAGACTCCTCCCTGGGCACACAGAAAACTGGGTGACTTGGAAGGTGCTGAACAGACTGCGCTCTGGTACCACGAGATGCAGAGCCAACCTTAAGAAATGGGGCTACAAAGTGGAATCCACGACATGCGAGTGTGGAGAAGAGCAAACCACTGACCACCTGCTGCGATGCAACCTGAGCCCTGCTACATGCATAATGGAGGACCTCCTTGCAGCAACACCAGAGGTACTCCAAGTGGCCAGATACTGGTCAAAGGACATTTAATCAACTACCAAGCTTGCAAACTTTGTGTTTTGTCTGTTCGTTTGTTTTGTTAAAAATGTAATACAAATGTCTGGTTGCTCCTGACACGATAAATAAATAAATACTTGACACCAGGGAAGATTTTAGGGTGAAAATTATAGATTTTGATATTATTCATGAATAAGGTGAGTTACCATATTTCACAGAGAGGGGAAAGCATGAATGCTTTTAGGTTTTCCCTGGTGAGCGAAATTCTCACCCATCGCCACTCTACTCAGAGAAGGGGATGGTCATTTTTGTTTTGTTTTTGTAAGAGTTAAAGTTGTTGGAAATAGTAACCTTCCAAGCCTCCATTAACTTTGTAAATGGGTATAATTGTTAACCTATATTGTATGTACATTTTGGTTTGCCACTTTGACTGTACCCCTTTGGGAGGGGCTTCAGACACAGGCCTCCATGTTGTATCCAACTTGCATCAGACCTCAGTGGAGGTGGATGCATGTTGCTGTTTGGACTTTAGTAGAGAAATATGACTTATAGACTTCAGTGAGTACAGCTATACTTATAGACAATGGACGATTGATTAAGTATCATACCCTGTGTATTCAACACAGAGAAGAAACTACATCTTATCTAACTGAACTCTAATAAGAAATGTGCCTGTATGGTGAATTAATACAAGTTGTTTATGAGTAAACAAGATATGTTATTTTTAAAGAAGACTACTTTGTTTTGTCTTTTGAGTGCGTATTTTAAGAAGAGGTTTTTAATGGAGAGTAGATGGAAAACTTCAACTTCAAAGAAACAACCATCCTCTGCTAACCAAATACATTTTTGTACTGGCATGCCTTTATCCTTGACAGTTTAAAGACATGGTTCATCAGTTTAACAGCTGAGTTACCTGTGTGTCATTACATGAATGCTTATGAATATCACTTGCTCTAAGAGTTGACTTCTAACAAGGTCATGCTTTTCTTGACTTGTGGTCTTCAAAAGGTGGCCCCCACATGTTCACAGAGATTAACATTTGCCAAATGGATATGACATCATTTTTACCTTTTCAATAAGGTTATGGTGCACTTATTTCCAATAGGTTATGGAATTTGCAATAAAAGTTCTATAGTTGCTCAAGCTGTGGATAAGTCAACCCAGGGTTTTGGGTTTATTTTTTGGCTAAACTTTCTGGACTTATACATGAGTACTGTATAACTAGAGTATAAACTGAGTTTTTCAATCCTTTTAAAGACTGAAAAAGCCCCCCCCCCCCCCGCCGCTTATATTCGAGTCAATGTTATTTATTATTTTACTCTGTTGTTGTTATTGTTGTTGTTGTCGTTGTATTTATTATTATTACATTTATTATTTTTCTCTATTATTACTGTTTATTGTTACATTTCCATTATTTTACTCTATTATTAATATTTTTATTACATTTATTATTTTACTCTATCATTTTTGGAAGGATATGTAAGCATATTTACATTGAAGAAGGTTAGAATAATGGTTTAATCAGAGTTGGACAGTCTTATCTTAAATTACAGTTTTCTGTAAATATTCAAAAACATTTAACCTACAGATGTCTCAATTAATGTAATTTTATTGCTATCTATTTTTATTTTGAAATTTACTAGAAGCTTCTGCATTTCCCACCCTCAGCTTATATGTGAGTCAATAGATTTCCTCAGTTTTTTGTGATAAAATTAGGTGCCTTGGCTTATATTCGGGTTGGCTTATACTCTAGTATATACAGTATATATGGCAGCTTGATGCTCACAGAGTTTAGCAATAGCTAACCTGATGTGTGTACTCGCTCCAGACTGATTTTGACCACATCTGTTACTGTCAAATCTGTGTTTATTGTCTGCAAAGGGAAATTAATGATAACGAGATGCCTGTTCAAAAAAAAATATGGCACTTTAAAGGCATGAACTGTATGCCAGCTTTTTGAAAGAGCTTGATGGTAGAATTAATGTTTTGTGTGAGAAGCTCCATGGTTCAGTCCTTTGCCATCTCCAGTTCCAAAAGCTCTTGAAGAATTAAAATTAGTGATAACTTACTGTATATACTCGAGTATAAGCCTAGTTTTTCAGCCCCTTTTTTAGGCTGAAAAAGTTCCCCTCGGCTTATACTCGAGTCAAGGTTATTTATTATTTTACTATGGTATTAGTATTATTTTTATTATATTTATTATTTTACTCTATTATTATTATTACATTTACATTACTTTACTCTATTACTTTTATTACATTTATTATTTTACTCTATTATTATTACATTTACATTATTTTACTGTATTATTATATTTATTACATTTATTATTTTACTCTATTATTGTTATTATTAATTTATTACTTTATTATTACTACTATTGTTATTAAATTTACATTATTTACTCTATAATTATTTTTATTACATATTATTACATTTATTATTTTATTCTATCATTATAGGTAATAGGTAAGAAGCACATTTACATTGAAGGAGGTTAGAATAGTAGTTGAATCAGAGTTGGGCAGTCTTATCTTAAATTACAGTTTTATGTAAATATTCATAAACATTTAATCTCCTGATGATTACCAGTAGCAGCTACATTTCTCACCCTCGGCTTATACTTGAGTCAAAACGTTTGTGGTAAAATTAGGTGCCTTGGCTTATATTCGGGTCGGCTTATACTCGAGTATACACGGTATAATGCTGGGCCAGGGTGATGTACAGATAGGCTGCATATATAAATGCAGAGGCTTGAGTGAGAAGTAAATGGTGGAGAAAATCTATGAATGCCTGTCTTGAGGTAGAAATGCACATCTTGATTCAAATCTCATTCACACAATGCAATTATAGCTGTAATTGTAGCCGTTTCACACAACACTATAGCACTAAGATCCCAATGCAACTATGAAATCCCAGCTCTCTGACTGAGAATTCTAAAATACTATTCTATAAGGTGTTTAAAATTCTCAAATTACAATGTGGTACTATGGATTAAAATGCTATAAGTGTACAGAGACACACGTCATTATTATCATTCATACAAGTCAATACACCTGATGTAGAGTTAAGAATGTCTTAAATGATGCTCCTATCCTCTTACTTATCTTTAAGGATGCTGGGGTTGATGGTCACCAAGCTTGTCTTAGTTCCGATATCTTCAGGGAACTCCAAAGGAGGAAGGTTGAACCTGGATTGGGGGGAAAAAGCATCAGGCTCAGTGTCAGCTGTCAAATACATGGTATTTTGGGCTCTGTAAATAAAATCAAGACCTGCTGCTGAGGTTTTAAAGCTTTTCTAATTTTCTCCCTCTGCTTTCAGGGACAAAGAGAGTGCGAGTACATCTACATGGCTTGACACCACATTAGCTGCCATGTACTTTTTACCTGGTCCTCACTCAGGGTCAACCTATGTCTGAAATGACTTGAAAGGACACAACAACAACAACAATCCTATCTCATCAGCCAAAAGCAGGCCCACACTTCCCATTAAAATACTAATAAGTTTATATTTGTTAAAATTGTTCTTTATTTTAATTATTGCATTGTTTTTAAGTTGTTGTTTTTTTGCACTACAAATAAGATATTTGCAGTGTGCATAGCAATTCATTCATGATTTTATCAAATTAGAATCTGGCCCTCCAACAATTTGAGGGACTGTGACCTGGCCCTCTGTTTAAAAAGTTTGGGGACCCCTGGGTTAAAGGACATTTTAAAGTCAGACATCATATCTGTAAGCCTTATATCTAAATTCTAGTTATGATGTCTAATGATGAGGAATGCAAAAGTTGTACTTTATCTGGAGGGCCAGATAAAATAAGATGGTGGGCCGGATTTGGCCCACGGGCCTTGAGTTTGACACATGTATCTAAAATAAAAGGAGCGTGGCATTGGAGATGAAGAAGGCCAAACTCCTTTCTAGCCCTCAAGAACAAAGGTGAATAGACCGGAGGCCATCAGAAGATCTTGAGCATAATTGAAGATTCCTGAAGGTCTTTGTGAGGAGGTTGTCTCTTCGAGGTCACAGCTCTTCTTCCATGGAGATTAGCAGATAAAAAACAGAATGCATCTACCATCCCTAAGATGGGGAACTCCTCCAAACCCCGGTGTGCCTCTGCTAATTGATGTTGGGAACATTGATCAACATGGACTGATTGTCTGACAGGGGCAGTTTCAGTTTTCAGTATTCTACATATATCATAGAATCATAGAATCAAAGAGTTGGAAGAGACCTCATGGGCCATCCAGTCCAACCCCCTGCCAAGAAGCAGGAATATTGCATTCAAATCACCCTGACAGATGGCCATCCAGCCTCTCTTTAAAAGCTTCCAAAGAAAGAGCCTCCACCACACTCCGGGCAGAGAGTTCCACTGCTGAACGGCTCTCACAGTCAGGAAGTTCTTCCTCATGTTCAGATGGAATCTCCTCTCTTGTAGTTTGAAGCCATTGTTCCGCGTCCTAGTCTCCAGGGAAGCAGAAAACAAGTTGCTCCCTCCTCCCTGTGGCTTCCTCTCACATATTTATACATGGCTATCATATCTCCTCTCAGCCTTCTCTTCTTCAGGCTAAACATGCCCAGCTCCTTAAGCCGCGCCTCATAGGGCTTGTTCTCCAGACCCTTGATCATTTTAGTCGCCCTCCTCTGGACACATTCCAGAGGAGTGTGGACAAGGCTGGTTCATATATGTAGAATACTGACATGGAAACACCCATGGCCTTTCCTACTTAAAATATAATCCATTACTTTCAAAGAAAGAAGGAATTACCTGACGACTAGATCTGCCTGGTCGATCTCCTGTCCACAGCGGCTTTGTCGCAAAATCCCGCTATTGCCCACCATTGCACAATGCTTATACTGAGAATGTGAGAAAGGCGATACCTAGATTTTTGCAGGGAGTGGTAACAAAAAAATTTAAAAATGTGTTTTTTTTAAAAAAATAAATGTACAAATGAAATACAGAAAAAAATTCATGCAGTTAGTATTATTCCAGAATTAACCATTCTAACAACTTGCAGGCATCTCTATCTGCTATGTTCCATGTCATTTTAGCATGAATTTGGGTAGTAATTTACCTTCAACTCAGAGAATTGAGCAGAGAATTTGACTCTGTGATCTATGAATCCTCTTCCACTTTAATTCTATAAACTACAGTGTTCTAGATTCTATAAAAGCATTTTCATACAGGTAGGGTGAAGGATTTATTCTAGTAAAAGACAATATTCTGTATATATTTGAGTATAAGACGACCAGAATATAAGGTACCTAATTTTATCACAAAAAAACAGGGTAAGCATATTGACTCGAGTATAAGCTTAGGGTGGGAAATGCAGAAAATTGAAGTTCTGCTGTTGAAGATCTTTTTTTTTTTTTCCATGATGGGAAATACCTTCCTGAGCTGGAAATACCTTCCAGCTCGAGGCCCAACTTCAATTTTAGATAATTTCTTCAGAGGTAAATTCTAGTGGTGGGCAAGGTCAGAGGCAATCAGGCTCCCAAACAACTCCTATTTTAGCTTATCCAAACTATATCCAAGTTATATAAAAGCATTCCAGTCTCTATATAAAAGTTGGGAAACCATTTCATGATGGTGTCATGGGATTGGGGTCCCTTCTACATTGCCACATAAAATCCAGATTATCTGATTTGAACTGGATTTATATGGCAGTGCATACTTATATAATCCAGTTTAAAAGAGATAGTGTGGTTTATCTGCTTTGATAATCTGGATTATATGGCAGTGTAGAAGGGGCCTGGGCAGTCAGCATGTCAACATATATGCACTACTATTCATATGTACTCCTTCCCATACTGTTTGCATCTTTGCTATGTCAAAACAGTTTCCCACATCCAAAAGCAATGCCTCTAAAAGGACTAGCTGGAAGGAAGCATAGCTATATATTATTTCTATATAGTCACTCACCTTTGGCAGCAGCTCTAGGAGGTGAGCTTCCACAGCTACTTTAACACCCTCTAAACAGGTAATATTTGATCCTAGAGGTTTGTTTTCCTTGGTCAGGACTAGCTGGACAGAAGCATTGCAACATTGGCCCAGTTCAGCCCTGCAAAGAGATTGTACCTGGATTAGTGTTAATAGAAAGGAATTGTTTTGAACTTGTAAGAGTATTTTCTGAACAACCTAAGTAGTATAAAGGCACCACTATGCCACAGTAATTTTGCTTTTTGCCTATGTTTTAATCTTTAAGGCTCTCAAAGACAAGAGTCTGCTCCTGCTGTACAAGCTTTAACCATTAGAAATTACTATTTGTTTCCCAAATAATTGTGATTGTCCTTATATGAATATTTTCAGGAAGAATCAAGCATAGCAGTTCTTATAATTAGGGATATATATAATATATTCCACTGGTTCCAGATCACCTATGCAAGTTTTAGTCCCATTACCTGTATCGATCCATTTCTGTGATATCGGGCTCCCAAGGAACTTCCTGTGTGAGCAGCAAATGCACCAGTTTTGTTTTCTCCTTCATGGATAACTTATTTTCCCATTGTAAAATGTCAGGTTTCTGGTGGACATCTCTATGAAAAAGGAGAGTGATGCACCATGCTTATGCACACATTCACAATCACAGGACCAAACATTCATGTACCTTTCATGCAAGGAGATATCACCTTCCAAATGCCACTTGTGAAATTGCATTTAATCTTTTCCATTACTAAACATAATTCAGAATCATGATGGTTTCTGTATTTCTGAAACACACTGAGATATCTTACTGAGATACTGAATTTTCACTCTATTTGTTTCCAATCACTCTCCACTTTATATGTGTGTGTGTGTGTATTATTGTTTCAGCTTTGCATCATATTATTTACACTTAATTTCCATTGACGTATATGCCTAAAACATCTCATATAACAGTTTTTTTATATGTTCTTTGCACCTTCTCCTTTTATACATTCTTCTCTTTGATGACATTTTATTAATTTCATTGTTAACACCCCTCATTCCTCCCATCATCTTCCCCTTGACCACATATTTTCCCTATATATTTATCCTTAACCTGGGGATCACAACCAGATACAGTGAAGACATCTGCCCTTGCGCTTTGCTACTCTGCTGCTGTGTGGAATACATCTCTACACATTAAAACAGTGGATGTGGCTCTTAATAAGACCTGCCGCATTATCACAGAATGTCTACAACCTACAATGCATGAGAAATTATACTGTTTAGCCGGTATTGCACCACCTGACATCCGCCGGAAAGTAGCAGCCAGCAATGAAAGACCAAGACAGTGATATCTCCGGCCCATCCTCTGTTTGGATATTAGCCAGCAAGTCAACACCTTAAATCAAGAAATAGCTTCCTAAGACTTACAGAGATACTCAAAGGAACACCTCAGCAAGCAAGAGTCCAAAAGTGGCAAGTTAAAACCCAGTATCTCAATTCATGGCTGATACCGGATGAAAAACTCCCCCCCTGGGCACACAGAACACTGGGCAACATGGAAGGCACTGAACAGACTGTGCTCTGGACCACGAGATGCAGAGCGATTAATAAGAAATGGGGCTACAAAGTGGAATGTGGAGAAGAGCAAACCACAGAACACTTACTACAATGCAGCCTGAGTCCTGCCACATGCACAATGGAGGATCTCCTTACAGCTACACCAGAAGCACTCCAAGTGGCCAGCTTCTAGTCAAAGGCCATTTAGTATAATGCCAAGTTTAACTTTGTTTGTATTTTGAAATACATTATAGCTGTACCTTCAATTTGCTTCTGACATGATAAATAAATAAATTCTTAACCACGCACACAATTTTTTTAGTTTCTGTACAATATTCACATTAGCTTCACTGCTTTCCATCCATTCCATATATTTCTTCCATTTATTTTTAATTTCTTCTCTTTTATCCTCCTGTATATTTTTCTAGATTACATATGTTATGATTTCAGATTGGACCTGATCATAAATATAGTTGTATTGTCGAAGGCTTTCATGGCTGGAATCACTAGGTTCTTGTGGGGTTTTTCGGGCTATAGAGCCATGTTCTAGAGAACATGGCTCTAGAACATGGCTCTATAGCCCGAAAAAACCCACAAGAACCTAATAAATATAGTTGTTAGAATTTTCCATCGTCCATTTCTTTCCATCTTTCCATCCCAATGCTATCACTGCTTGTCCTGCTAGAATCATAATTTTAAACAATTCTTGTTCTTTTGAATTAATGTTATTATTCCCCAATACTCCCATTAACATCAGTTCTATATTCACTTGGAAGTCCACTTTACCTAATTTGGAATTAATGTAGTTAATAGATTTTGAAGACAGATAATTATGGTGGGCTCTTTTTGGGAGAGAAACAGAGGCTGGACTACACTGCTATATGGTGAGGTTTTCAGAATGCAGGTTAGCTGCATTGAACTGGATTATATGAGTCTAAACTGCCACAGAATCCAGTTCAAGACAGACAACCTGCATTCTGAAACTGCATTATGTGGCAGCGTAGATCTAGCCAATGATTTTTTTTAGTATACTAAAGATTAGTATGCCACGCCCGTACTTTTCACACATCTGCCTTACTTTTTTGGCTTCGGTAGTATCAAATGTTTATATTTCTGTAACGTGAAAAGGATGACAAATTGGACGAGGGACATTGCCCCGAAGATGCAAAATGTAAGTCTCCTGTTTAGTGCCATGACGGTGAAGGAAGTGGGAAGCTTCTGATCACGGTCCGGTTTCTTCTCCCTTGCCTTGCTCTTTCAATGGTGTCTTTTATGTCTGTCATGTAGCATTGTACCGAAAAGCACCAGCCATATGTGTTGACTCAATACACCTGCTGAAAAAAGGTAGCCATACTTTATCTCTTGTTCTTTTGTCCCCAAACCCATGAATTTATTTCCCAACCCAGGCAGAAAATGTCATATGCATATGCAATACAAAACAAAAACAAATAAACAAAACAAACAAAACCCCAGTCATTATTATTTATGTTGTCAAAGGCTTTCATGGCCGAAATCACTGGGTTGCTGTGAGTTTTCCTGTATGGCCATGTTCCAAAAGCATTCTCTCCAGACATTTCACCCACATCTATGGCAGGCATTCTCAGTGGTTGTGAGGTGTTAGAAACTAGGCAAGTGGGGTTTATATATCTACGAATTACTAATTTTTGAGGCCATAAAAAAGACTGCAGCAAAAGCACTCCAGCAAAGCATGCGGGGAATGCGGAAGTACTTCATCAGTGTCGCATATGGACGATGAAAGCGACAGGTTCCCTGGCGGCCAGAAAAGTTAATTAGCCTATGACTGTCTGTCTATATGTGTTGTGTGTCTTTGGCATTGAATGTTTGCCATATATGTGTACATTGTAATCTGCTCTGAGTCCCCTGCAGGGTGAGAAGGGCGGAATATAAATACTATAAATAAATAATAAATAAATAAACACTAGCCATCTCCTGCCATGCGTTGCTGTGGCACAGTCTGTGTATATGTGTTTTGTGTGTGTATATTTGTGTATATGTGTATATATGTGTGTTTGCATATGTGTGTGTGTGGTTTTGTGCATGCGTTGTAATTTTTTATACTTTTTGGGGGGTTTTAAGTCTCTTTTCTGCTGTGTGAAGTTTTATATTTACATGATTTCTTTTAATATTATATAGAATGCAACCCCTGTATCCACAACTTCATTTTTCCATATCTGACAAAATATTTCCTCTCTAAGCATCTTTAGGTCCTCCAACACAACTCTTTGGTAATTCTGAGACAGAAGACCTTCATTTCAGAGTATCATTATTATCCACAGTTTTGTGTACGTACCCACCACCAAGACACTACACTTGGAAGGCCATCATACTTGGACAACAAGGGATCGCTCAAGTAAGAAGTATCCATACAAGTCTGGGAATGTGTCCCTTATAGATACGGAAGTTGTGTGGCATTTTATGTTTATGAGCTGCTTTAGATTTTTATTTTTGACTAACCGTCCCCTGCCAGGCATTGCTGTGGCCCAGTCTGTGTATATGTGCTTTGTGTGTATATATATGTGTGTGTATATATCTTTGTGTATATGTGTATATAGTGTGTTTGCATGTATATATGTGTGTGTGTGTGTTTGCGTATGCATGTGTGTGTGTATATATAAAATGGTATATATATTGTTTTTGCTTTTTAAGTCTCTTCTGCTGTGTTTTTATGAGTGATGGCCACTCGTTGGCCTGATAGTTGTATTATGTCCAAATTTGGTGTCAATTCGTCCAGTGGTTTTTGAGTTATGTCTATCACACAAATGAACATTACATGTTTATTTATATAGATGGGCTATCTAGGGTGTAATCAAGAATTATTGCCTGTTGGAGGCAAGTATGAACTTTGCATTTAATAGCCTTGATTAGCATTCAATAGCTTTGCATAGTTTATTTATTTATATCCCGCTTTTTCCACATGGGTGGGATTCAAAGCGGCAAACAATGGTTAAAACACAAAATTACATGGCACAAAAAGCACAACATCATCACCCCAAATAAACAGATAAACAATTGGCACTTTACATAAACCATATGCAACAAGCTTAAGAAATATGACATGTACCATTAAAAGAATTGGGCACCATATCTGTAAACAACGGGAATTATAAGTTTGAAGAAACAAAATTCATTCACATTTTACTTACGCGTAATCCGAAAGGAATCTAATATATTTTTCTGTAATTTTGTGCATGAAACAAAGCTTGTGTCCATCGAACCACCAAGAAGACAATTTTGGATTTTGAGTATATTTTGGGATAAAAGAGGCTCAGCCCGTATATACGAGGGTTGAATGAAAAGTAATGCCTCCACCTTTGTAACTCCTCAACAGATGGCAGTACTGGTATGTGGCAGGTACTGGCTTGTTCAGTAGACTCTTCTCTACAGTTCCATTTTGGCAGGAAGCCTTAGCATTGAATGGTTGTGCTAAGGCTTCTGCCAAAATGGAACTGTAGGGGAAAGACTACTGAACAAGCCAGTACCTGCTGCATACCAGTACGAAGTTACGAAGATGGAGGTATTACTTTTAATTCAACCCTCGTATTTCCACAGCCACAAAACTTAAAAACCTCACCTACACAGGTATATAATGTAACTAGCTGTCCCCTGCCATGTGTTGCTGTGGCCCAGCCTGTAGATCTTACTGGTAATCCGAAAGGAATCTAATACAATATTTTTCTGTAATTTTGCGTGTGAAACAAAGCTTGTGTCCATCGAACCACCAAGAAGACAATTTTGGATTTTGAGTGTATTTTGGGATAAAAGAGGCTCAGCCCGTATATACGAGGGTTGAATGAAAAGTAATGCCTCCACCTTTGTAACTCCTCAACAGATGGCAGTACTGGTATGCGGTAGGTACTGGCTTGTTCAGTAGACTCTTCCTACAGTTCCATTTTGGCAGGAAGCCTTAGCATTGAATAGTTGTGTTGTTAAAGTGCGAAGTATGGAACCCTGCGCAGACGGTTGGTCAATGCGACTTAAGCAACGTGCAGTCATTGAATTATTGACAGCAGAAGGTGTCACCCCAAAGGAGATTCATCAGAGAATGCAAGCTGTTTATGGTGATTGTGTTGATGTGAGTACTGTGCGTCGTTGGGT